GTAGAGGGCGCTGTGCTGCAGTGGGCTGTGGAGCCCAGTGGGGGGGGCTGGACCGAGTCCATGCTGCAGAGGGTGAGACACATAGGGGGGTGTACTGTCCATATTAATATGTAAACACTGTAGAGGGTGAGACACATAGGGGGGTGTACTGTCCATATTAATATGTAAACACTGTAGAGAGTGAGACACATAGGGGGGTGTACTGTCCATAATAATATGTAAACACTGTAGAGGGTGAGACACATAGGGGGGTGTACTGTTCATAATAATATGTAAACACTGTAGAGAGTGAGACACATAGGGGGGTGTACTGTTCATAATAATATGTAAACACTGTAGAGAGTGAGACACATAGGGGGGTGTACTGTCCATATTAATATGTAAACACTGTAGAGGTTGAGACACATAGGGGGGTGTACTGTTCATATTAATATGTAAACACTGTCCTGTGCACTGTGTGTACAGGTGCTCCACCTGGTGGGCGTGGCTCTTCTGGAGGAAGAGCAGCAGCTGGAGAGCAGCAGAGATGATGACGTCACCTTTAACTACACCTGCAAGATCATACGTCAGTGTACATACATATATATACACACACACACACACACACATTATTTTAGTGTTTGTCAACCTTTTCTGAGCCGCAGCACATTTTTTACATTAAAAAGATCCCGCGGCACACCAACAACCAAAAAAGATACAAAATGACGCCTTTTAGCATAACGCAGCATATATGCAGAGGAGTCAAACTCAATCACAGAGACGGTCACTATTAAAAATTGGGACTACTTTGAGGGCCAAATAGGGTTAACATTTAATAAACAGGATATAATGGATATTGGACAAAGTGCAAATCGGCATCATTTAATTCTACCGTCTTCAATTAACACGGTCATTATTGCGCTACCTACTGCCACCCACTGGCATGGAAGAGTATTTATTACTTAGCCAGCCACTATGTTGCAGCTCAGACGCTCAACAATGGCAAAGTATTTGCAGCAACTAAATAATGTTTTTTTGACTGAAATTGGACATTTTCCCACGGCACACCTGACGATCTCTCACGGCACACTGGTGGAAAATCACTGCATTATATATACACTCACAATGTATACATATGTTATACACACGTTATACACACAGCTCCCTTCATAGGCCCGGGTTCCATTCCAACCCGCACCATGTTCTACCTTTCTCCTAGTGTGTGTGTGTGTGTGTGTGTGTGTGTGTGGTTTTTTTTCAGGTCCAGGTGAAGCTCCCAGTACTTCAGGAAGTGTCCTGGCTCTGTTGGAGAGTCTGCAGAATGCTCCTCACCTGGAGGTTCACAAAGACATGATCACCTGGATCCTAAAGGTGAGCATCAGTCTGATGTCACTCCCTACAGGCTCAGTTTACATTGAGGTACTAATACATATTATTATTATTATAATATATATATATATATTAGTGCTGGGCAAGTTAACGCGTTCATTAATTAACGCCGACAATAATTTTATCGCGTGTTAACGCAGTTT